TTTCATAAAATCTTGGACAAATTTATGCTCCAGATGCCAGTCAATGAAACTTCAGTAGTTTTCTCCAGTTGGATATTCATTTTATTTTGAGGTGGAAATGCCACTGATCACACAATTTACACTTTCATAGTAATACGTGACAAATTCAGTGAAAAGGTGTGGCTTTAAAAAAAAGGACAGGAAAAATCCCCCTCAGAACGATGTGCAATCTTTTAATAATTTCTCTATGTGTTTAATAAGTCTTAAGTATTTGGCCCATACGATCATCAAATCCTCTGCCAAAAACCAACTGTGAGAGAGAAATGAAATTACTGGAAAAACACAAAGCACATGGGACCACAGCAGCCTAACTCGGGAGTCTGCCTTCTTCAGGAGCACTAACAACGTTTTGCTTTTCTCTAGAAGATTCTAACCATCCTCATCACTCTCTCCCACAACTAAAAGCAGCTTTCTTTGTAGTAAGTTTGCACCGTTCCTTCTTTAAAGTATACAAGATGCCTACCACTTTAAACCATAAACTCCGTCAATATCCTTCTCATCCTATATGTGGGTCTTTGCTCAGATTTATGCCTCTGCATAGGTGAAGTATGCTGCTACCCACGTGCATGGGCTAAAAAGTCCTCATGGGACTTTTAAAAATAGCTCTTTGTTTCCAGAAAATATTTCTCAAGCCTGTACTCTGCAGAAGGTATGTTAGTATGTGCCCATTACCACACAAACACCTATTCACATGGATTAGGTCCACGCAGAAAGCAAAGCCCCGAGGGCTTAGAAGCTGGGACAGATACTTTTTGGTGAGCAAGAGAAGGAAGAGATGAACGCAATGGGCAATTCTTTAAGTGGCGCATGGCGTGGGTTAATTTTAGCTGGTCCGGTTTGACCGCGTGCTTTTTTTCCAGAGTTACTGATACTTGGCAATGCTATGTATAGACTGTGTTAACTAAAGGTAAGTGATGTGCTGTAGTCATGGGTCCCTGAGTTGTTTCAGGGCAGAATATGTCAGCTTGTCAATGCTGCTTAGCAATGTAATTAAATTTATGATTTGCACCTAAATTCAGTGGAACTGGGGGCTGATGGTAAGGCTGTCCACATAGCTAGGGTGCGCCTACACGATGAGCTCACTCTAGGAAACTCCATCACGAGCAGACTTTGGGCTTCCTGGTGCCAAGGTGCTTGGCAGGCACACAGGTAGTGGTTCCAGACCTGGTGGGTGTGACTGTGCAGTGAGAGGACGAAGGGGCCTACACCTGGGCTCTCCAGACCCCGGTCAGTGCACTCCCCTCATCTGCTGTTGCCCTAGTGTATCCTTTGCCTGTAAGGAAGCTATCCTCTGAGTATAAACCATCTGATTCCTATGAGTCCTTTTAGCAACACTGAAGGTGATTAATGGGCAATTAACACAGGTGGCGAGATCTGTTCCTCCATGAATGCCCCCCCTCCACCCCCCGCCCCTGAGATCCAAGAGGCTCCACGATAACAAGGGGGGCTGGTGGGAATTGTCAAGAGTGCTGAAGGGTGGGTAGCCAGGGAGCTATTAAGGATACTTCCATTTAGTTAATTTATTTGCAATATCATTTATTACTTACAATGTTCAAGGTACCATTTGAGGTACTGTGAGTTATACAACTCTGAATAAGACACAGCTGTTCATAATCCAGATGGGGAGATAAGAGAAATACGCAAATAACTACACTCCAAAGCAGCGTGTAATATATCCCCTCAGAGTGATACGAAATCGTGTGACCTCTCAAAGACACACACAGAGGAGGGAGGAACTGCTTCAGGCCAAGGGTCAGAGTGTTCTGGCTGAACCTTAAAGTATGGGCAGGATTTATATTTCCAGAATGCTGGGTGAGGCGGAAGGATGATAGTTCTGGAAGATGGGACGGCACGAGCAAAGTCCCAGAGGAGGGAAAGCATAGTGGTCCTGGGGAGTAGTGGGTAGTCTAGACTTACAAGCTGGGGTCAGGTGACAGATGGTGGATTTGAGTGTCTTGGGATAGGATTGCAGTTGAAAATTTAGGCAGTGGGGAAGGTGCTAAAGATAGTTAGGGTTATTTAGAACAGAGGGATATGTTGGATTCTGAAAATCGTTATTGGCAGAGGAAGATGGATACAAGGAAGGAGAGACGGGGTAGGGTGTGGAAGGAGAGAGGAGCGAGACAGCTACTCAAGGGTTATTGTGATAGCCCAAGCGTAGAGTAAAGGTGGCCTGCAGAAGGGTGGTGGCCTTTATTTACGTTTGGACAGTTCTGTCTAGGATTCACTCTGGGAGGGTTTATTTATTTTTCTTCCACAAGGTTTTGCTTTGAATCTGAGAATTCAGAAAAGTGCACATAGGAAATATATACATTACAATTGTGAACTGACAGTTCTTGAACACTAGCTTTTTGTGTAAAGCTATCTCCTTAGGGGGAATATGACCTCCCTGAGGTCAGGACAATATCTTACACATTTCTTTCTTCCTCAAGGTGTAGAGCTAGCTAGTGCTGGGTGCATGGCAGGGAGTTAAACATCTGTGATACAGTGACTGTGTCCACAGAGACACAGTGAGGATACGGGAGCCCTATGGTCTGTTGCATCTCAGTGAGATGCTTGGATGATAAAGGTGGCCATGTGTCCTAGTGAGTGCACTGTGGAAGGTGCCTAGTGATACAGACATATCTGTTGACGTGGGGTACTTTATCCAATCAGTCCTGAGACAAAAGGCATATAACTTCAGATAAGGAGAAGCTGGAAGGATAGGATTCTTCCTTGCGTGGGGAGCTCAGTGTCTGTGTGACGTGCCACAGATGAAGGGTAATAGCTATTATTCTTGTTTATCACAAGGACAGAAGATCAACATATGCCAAGTGACTGGCAGCAATTTCAACACATCTGCCATACTCAGAGGTTGTATTCCAACAAGGCCCACAGCTTACGGTCCTCAGACCCCATGACTTGACAAAGACAATGGCTTGGGGAAATCTTATCACCACTTTGGGGGCAAGAGAAGGGCAGTGTACTGTGGTTGTGTGTTGGGGAGGGTTCCAGTGTGGGATGGAGCACGCACCATTAGTAAACCATTCTTAACTGATTCCTTCTTATTTCCTTACAGAAAGCAGCAATAAGTCACATCATCTGCTGAGTGAAGGCTTTGGAATATACTGGCTGGGATAACCCAAACATAAGCAACAGCTAATCTTTCTACAACCCCTCACATTAATTAGGGAGCAGATTAACATGTCAGATGATTCTAAAACAGGAGGGTTGTAGAGTTCGCGGTCTGTCACAACGGATGAATTGATGATGTTTGTTAAAAACAGCACCAACCCTCCTTTTCAGTCACCTCCAAGAAAAATGATGTTTACATCGCCTATTAGAAAAGGACTCTGCAATTTAGTCACAAAACCCCAATTATAGTTTCATGATGCCGTTATGATCCCTGAAAGAGCAATGGCTTAAACACAGTCAGGTACACCAACCTCCCTTCCTTTATTTTGTAATGTGGACTCGAGCACATACTTCAACTGAGGAAAAGAAAATCCATCCTTAGAATTTAATTGAAGGTGCCTACTATGTGATCACGTTTTTTTTTTTTAGGTCACGCGAGGGATTTAGAAGAAGCAGAAAACATAGGCTTTGCCTTAATTAATTGAGACATAATTAATTTGTGCAGCGCACACAACTCATTGAGTCCTGCACATGGTATGAACACATGCATGAAGATGTTGTGAGGTAATGCTATCACGGAGCAGTGGACAGAATTTCAGAGCCCAAGGCGATTTGGTTGAAGGGACAAATTTGACTGTCTGGTAATGTGATCACTAGGTAAAGAAATATCTCAAAATAATAATGACAATACAATACAGGACTTATAAAACAAAAATGCAGATTCCTAAACTCAGTAAACTAATTGTTGGCCCACAATAAGTTATTTTATGTCTTTTTTTCTTTGCATTAATTTGGGCTTACTTAACCTCTAAGGATAAGCTTATTAGAAAAATAAAGAAGCATTCGTTTTTTCCAAAGAGGAAATGCAGGTGGCTAACAGGCCCATGAAACATGGCTCAACACTGATAATCATCAGGCAAATACAAATCAAAACCACAATGAGATCTTGCCTCACACCTGGCAGAATAGCTAACATCGAAAAGAACACAAATAACAAATGTTGGCGAGGATGCTGAGCAAAGGGGATCCTCATGCACTTTTGGTGAGAAGGTAAATTGGTGCAACCACTGTGGAAAACAGTATGGAGATTTCTCAAAAAACTAGAAATAGGACTACCATATGACCCAGCAATTCCACTCCTGGGTACAAACAAAAACACTAATTTGAAAATATATACTCACCCCAATGTTCACAGCAGCATTATTTACAATTGCCAAGGTATGGAAGCAACCTACGTGTCCATCAACAGATGAATGGATAGAGAAGATGTGTTATATGTACAATGGGATACTACTCAACCATAAAAAGAATGAAATTTTGCTATTTGCAGCAACATGGATGGACTTGAAGGATATTATGCTAAGTGAAGTAAGTCAGACAGAGAAAGACAAATACTGTATGATATCACTTATATGTGGAATCTAAAACAATCAACAAACTAATGAATAAAACAGAAAAGAAGCAGACTCACAGATCATAGAGAATAAACTAGTGGTTACCAGTGGGGAGAGGGAAGGAGGGAGGGGCAAGACGGGGGTAGAGGAAAGAAAGGGTTATTATGGGATTATATGAAATCATTTGCATGAAACTTTTGAAAATTGTAAAGAACTTTGGAATTTAAAGGATCTTTCGTTCAATTAAAAAAAAAGGGAAAATAAAGAAGCAGCCTTGCAGAAAAGTTGAAAAAGAAATTCTGAAAAAAAAATGTGTTAGTTTGCCTGTGTAATTTCAGTCAGTCATTCATCCAGTTACCATATCCCAAATAAAATAGGGAAAGGACAGTAGCTTGAATTACAGTAAAACCTGGACACTATCGTTGAAGGCAGAAAAGGGAGTGAAATTCTTACTTGTCTCTAGGCCTGGATGAACTCTCTGCAGACTCTGAGACGCTCTGACAAGGATAGCTGGTGTGGCTGGAACAGAAAGAGATGAAAACCATTAGTTACCCCTACAAAAAGTGGTCTGATGTGACTTTCTTACAATCTCATTTTCAAATGTCAAAATGTGACCAGGCCCAACCTCACAACAATTCTCTCCTTTTTCTTTCTTTCTTTTTCAAACTAAAATTGCACCTACCCTCTAAAAAGAACTCCTAAATATTCAGAGCAGATGGAAACCTTCTGGTCTTAGCTGCCTCTGGTCTCATGCCTGGACACAGTCAGGAGGATGAAAAATTGCCTTCCTACAACATTTGAGTCCAAACTTAAGTCTTGCTTGTGGAAACAAGGAGGAACATAAATTCTTTTTTAAAAAAAGTATTAAAAACAGTTCAGTCAAAAGCATTTATTCTTAGAAATAAACATGTGAGCAACCCTGGAATAGGGAAGGAATGAGGGGAAGTGAGAAGTTGGACAAGAGGGGGACAGAAATTTAGGATGCGAGATGGCAATGAGTCATCTATTATAAAAGCACTTCTAATTTTATTGATACTAGTATTAGGTTGCATTAAAAACAGGAAAAATGGGCTTCCCTGGTGGCGCAGTGGTTGAGAGTCCGCCTGCCGATGCAGGGGACACGGCTTCGTGCCCCGTTCTGGGAGGATCCCACATGCCGCGGAGCGGCTGGGCCCGTGAGCCATGGCTGCTGAGCCTGTGCGTCCGGAGCCTGTGCTCCGCAACGGGAGAGGCCACAACAGTGAGAGGCCCGCGTACCGCAAAAAAATAAACGAGAACAAAAACAAAAACAGGAAAAATGGAAAATGATCAATGTAGTTATCATTCAACTGTTGAAATGCGTTGAACTGCAAACACCTCAGCTACAAAAGTATTGTAACTGTTATCCGGGCTTGGTGGAGAAGGGGGTGTCTCCAAGATTCCTCCCATCCCATCAGGCTATCCGTGGGTTATTAGAGAGGCAGTTTGGTCCAGGCCCACGACAAACAGAGAGCATTACCTCAAAGCAACGAAGCTGCTGATGCTTTTGGTCCTCAATAGGACCTTAACAGCGTTAACCTTAACAGCGTTAAGAAATCTTTCTTTGATATGAAAAAAGGAAGAGGAAGAAAATGAAGATGCATGGGCAGTGGAGCTGGCCCACACCCATCTCCCTGAATTTCAGGGAGGGTGAATCCTGTCCATCTGTCCTGATCCACTTCTCAATGTGCTTTTTTACTAACTCCTCCCACCTGGCTAACCACTAGGAAGCAGCTGTCGGGTCTGAAGTTCAGAATATAGAACCTAACAGAGGAAGTTAAGATCCTTTCACTAAATACTGCAGAATTCTAACGCGTGAAAGTTTTTGCAGCCTGGGCCTATCAGTGAGAGCGTTCTTCCAAGCGAAGTTAGGTTTGGGGGCCTTTGGTGAATTAATATTTTAAATTCTGTGTGACTATTAGCTCTGGAAGGGTTTCTTTTCAGTCTCTCTCTAAATTTTAATATTAACTTCATCTGTAGAAGCTCATTTACTCCCAAATACAATAAAGAATTACGACAGAAAGCAAATGGAATACACGTTTCCCTAGAGGAGATAATGTACTACACATTGATTTTAACGTGACCAGAAAGGAAAACTGCATTTTATGAAAATCCCCTCAAGTCTACTCACTGTCTTGATAGCCTTAGTCTTTATTATTACCATTGTCTAGACCCCAACCCCTGCCTTTAATTCCTTGCTACAAATCAGAGAACACTTTATTACCCCTTGCACTAAATTGGGCACCAGAATGTTATTTTTGGTCAAGGTTTGGCAAGTTTGTATAACTTCCAACTGTGAATGACCTATTTCACTGAAAACTATATATGACTTGAGAAAGTCCTGATAGCTCAAAAAAAGAGGAAAATTAAGTTAATCATGGGATGACACGCAATCATGTGTGTTATTTTTGTCAAAATTATCCAGCAAGTTTGTCTCAATTTTCAGCTTGAAAGTGAGTAAACAGACACCAGTTTCCAGGCTCAGATCAGCAGGAAAGTTGACGAATTTCTCCAGAATGACGACTGATATGGAATGTGGGCATCAGTTAGGAGGCCCCAAGGAGCCCACAGAGCCAAACCTCAGGCCCGGAAATGCTTGGGGAGCACTGGCCACCGTTGACTCTTCCCAAACCAGGATTTTGCTTTCTTTGCAGACAGACGTCTGGTGCTTTCCTCCTTATGGTGTATTTGGTAACACTTGCATGAAGCAGAAAGTCTTACTCAGCTAACACCCTCCACAGTATGTGATGAATCGAGGCATAAAAGGAACAAATGGCATTCTTGGGGAAGACCCACAGGTTTATGCCAGTGCCCAGAGGGTGCTGATTACAAATTGAGCACAATGAGGAAAACTGTGCCACCTCAGCAGATGGAGACGTCACCCTCAGTTGTCAATTTTAGTGCCCCAGCTGTCCTCACTGTCTAAAGTGACGAGCGATGGAGGAAAACAAATGAAGGGTGACAATAAGCAGAGCATCACAGCTCCAGTATATCCTAGAGGAGCTTTTAAATGCTGGGCATTATAAAATGAATTAGCTGCAGCTCCTGGCCTTGGTGAGCCCACGATTTCCGGGCAGGGATCTATAAATGAAGGAGTGGTCAGCACCGGAGGGGCAATGCGGTAGCCCTTCACGAGTCTGGACAAGCTCCCTGGGGAAGGTGACCCTTTGGACAGGCGCTGAATTTGGGATAAATAAGAAATGAAAAGGAAAGGAAAGGGCAGTTGGAGCCAAGGCAAGCACTGCATAAAGGCAGAGATAAGACACAACCTAGGCATGTAAAGAGCCATGATCTGAAGGGAGCGGGCGGAGCAGAGCTGACCTAGGATGTGTGGAGAGGTCAAGGGCATACTGGGAATGGTCTTTCCAAAGAACTTAATTGTGGGACTTCCCTGGTGGTCCAGAGGTTAAGAATCCACGCTTCCACTGCAGGGGGCACGGGTTTGATCCCTGGTTCTGAAACTAAGATCCCACATGCTGCAGCCAAACATAAATAAATAAAGCAATAAAGAACGGAATTGTGATCCTGCAAACATTGGAGAACTAGTACTTTGCAGTGCCTTGAGGCAGAGCTTCTCACGGCGGACCTGCCTAAGAATGAACTGCAATCTATCCTCTCCTACTTATGTCCAGCCTTGTGCTCAGCTACCCAACTATGGTACACAATTGGACCTCAGTTTCTGTCTGTAAAATGGGGACAGCTGCAGTATCTACACATGTGAGGTTTAAGTCAGTTAATACATGCAATATATTAAATATGCAATATAATAAGTGCTTGGTAAATGTTAGATATTCTTCTTGTTATTATTATTGTCACTTATTATTGCTACCACTACCCTGAAAGTAAGAGCCCATCTTTTCCAACAAAGAATTTGACAATGTTTTTACACTAGACTTTGTGAGCTTAGGGCTTTGCACATATGAGGACAGGATGCTGCCCTAAGCCCAGCATCTACTCCGGTCCTCCTGCACAGGCTGGATGCAGGCAGTGGGACTTTGGGGAAGTAGGGTCAGTGGCATGGGGGATGGTAATCTGCCTGGGACTAAATGCCATCAATTCCAGTTCTTGTAAATTGGTGAATTCCCTATTATATCAGTAAGAAAGCTAGTATGGGAGAATCAATGTTCTGGTGAGTACTGTAACTTACCAGTTGTGCAGCAATGGCATTAGAACCAGCCACGAATAGACAGTGCAAACACAAGTAGGTAAACCAAGATACTGCATATGGCAACAATTTTACATGACAGGAGATAACGTAAAGGGCCTCACAGGGCATCTGCCATAAAATAGGCATTGGTTAATGTCAGCTATTGTTATCATTATTAGCTTATGGTTACTCTAATGATAATGATGATGTAACTATCATGAAATCTCTATTTCAAGACTTCCTCTGATTGCCGTAATCATTTTACAGTATATACATGTATCAAATCATTGTGTTGTACACAAACTTGCACAGTATTTTATATTAATTTTATCTCAATAAAGCTGGAAAAAAAAGACTTCCACTGAGAGGTTTTGCTTTCTCCCTCAAGCAGGTAAGCTGTCCTCCACCCAACAGCCCTAGAAACCATTCTTACACCCTTTGCTGTAACTGCTTATTCTCCTGTGCCCTATGACACACAGCAAGTTTCTTGAGATGGGCATTCCTTTTATCTTTGTAACGTCTGTTAGGAGCACAGGGCATGGCACCTAGCAGAAAAATAAGGCTTGCTAAAGAAATGAGGTAGATGAATTACAAATGCTTTAAACTTTGGCTTTCCAACTAAAAGGGGATCAAAGAAAAATTGTTTATTCTCAGCAAATTGTCTTTCCTTGTAAATCTCAAGTTTGCTTGACTACTTTTCCTGCCTTTTTGAAGTGTACTTATCCTTGTGCATACTCCAAAAATTTTCCCAGCTCGGATTTCAACCTCAAAGCTCTTTCCAGACCCACTTTTTTCTTTCTGTCCTTTTTTCTCTATCAAACTATGATCACCATCACGGAAGAGTATTCAATTTAAAGTCCACATCTCCTCCAGATACGCAGCCTCCTTGCAATAAGGCTGAAGTTCAAGCTCACTGTCTGGTCATATTGATGCCATGCCCCAGACCGTCCTGCTGCCTCTGAAGGCGCTGGCTGATGGCAAAGTCAAAAAATGTGTGTGAGGTGTTTACGTCTCACATTTATTGTGCCCTTAAAATGTACCAGGCACACACTTCAGGACATTTTATGATTTTTTCCATTTTATCCTCACAACAACCCTCTGAAGTGGATATTATTAGTTACATTGTATGAATGAGGGATCTGAGGCTCAAAGAAATAACGTGCCTAAGGCCACCCAGCAATTATATGGCAGAGGCCAAAGTGGAACTGGAGTCAGATTCTGACTCCACCCCACTCTACAGTTTCCCAAACTTGTCTGACCATTAAGATCTACTGTGGCGGGACTTCCCAGGTGGCGCAGTGGATAAGACTCCACGCCCCCAATGCAGAGGGCCTGGGTTCAATCCCTGGCCAGG